GCACGGAGGCACAGTAGAAGTGGCCGGTAAGAGATGCGGTGCCCGGTGGACAGCAGCTGCAAATGCACATGGTTCTCGTGTTGTTGGTAAGAGTCTCTCACAAAGCGTGAATATTTGGATTCAATATTGATAATTTTGTGAAGCTTTCTGTTGTCTATCACACGCAGCCCACACTCCCCATTTATTCACTGGTGTCTCGAATCTGGGAGAAAACTTCATCCTGATTCAGCCTGTAATTAGTTATCTCTTTGTTATCCTGGGAAGCAAGCAATGTGCTAACCAACCTCAATAAGTGATGGTTTAATAATGAAATAAAAAGGCAGTTTATCCATTATTACTATTCATGCTTCTGTTTACAAAGTTAGTGTCTTACGTCTGACTTACTTGGGGTTTTAAGTGCTTTTTAAAGTACAATAAAGAAAGTTTGGAGTTCGGGTACGGTTTCTTACTAGCTTTATGCATACATAATTTTCTTTAAATGCTTTGTCATGGTTTTGTGAGGCATGTTTTTCAAGTTACTACTTGCTTACACCAGAAAGCATTTATATAAAACAAGATAAATCAGACATATATCTAAACATGATGTATATGAATATGTGAACATGATATGTACGTCACTGTGTCAGTGACCGAATTCATGGCTGCATCTCATAGAAGGGCATGCATGTCGCTTCATCCTTACTTAGTCTTATAGAGTCTCCCACAGTAATTGGAGGACTTGGTGAAAGCCTCATTTGTAGAAATAAATAACGTTAATTTTATCATCAAAATACAGTCCAATGAATCTGACTTCAGAGCTGCTTCTCTCGTGTTTTAGATGTTGCAGCTTCATTATACAAAGTGCTGGGTCAGTGTAAACTCACTTCACTGTTTCAGAGCCATTCATGTACCTGTGGTGGGATCAGTGCAAACACAAGTGCTGTGTTACCAGAAGTACTGTCTGCATTCTGTGACAGCATGCCCCAGAAAGGTGACTTACAAGGATAACTTGGTCTGAGTAAGCTTGTGTAGAGGAGGAATCGTAAAGGCTGGAGTCTTACATTCAAGTGCTGGGAAGGAGGCAGTGAGCCGTACAAAATCATCGATACAGAGCAAAGTACATTTAAAGCTTCCATTCTAATGTGTTTACTCTTTCTGTCCCTCATAAACTGCTAACACGTGAGGACAGTGCAGAGGGGAATTCAGAACATATTCACTTAATACAGTGAAAGACTCATTACAGGAAGATGTTAGTGAGAACACAATAGTCTTTCTATTCAGTAACAACTCTATTCTTCTAATGTTATAGCGGTGACTGGCTTATGTTTTGGAGTTTGTTGACTGATCCTTCTGGTGACGGGATAAGATTTCCATGGGAACTGAATAAATCTGTATTGTCTTCTACATTCGTAACCATCATCATGGGCTTGTTGGAATTGGACATTTCCAGTCTAAATTGATATAAGTGTACTGCTGCACAATTCTGCTCTTATTGTAGTTATGCCACCAATAGTGTTGGTGTGACTGCACATTCAGCTGGATTGGGTAATTAATCTGGCTGTGGGAGGGGGAAAAAACCACTGATTCAGTTTCTTGACTGGATCCTCTCATCCACCAGTACGAGGGAAAGTACACACGCAGCTGCTGTGCAGGGGGAGTGCTCCTTGCAGTTAAACGGACCACGGTGGAGCTTCACCTTTCACTTTTGGGCTCACATTGTATTCAGTCTAGTGGTGATAGTCTGCTGCCAAAAGTCTTCCTTTATCTTCCATGCATGCTCATCCAATCTCTTCTTTAACAACTGTGGAACCACAGGCTGTTGGCTTAGTATTTGTTGGATCCTAAAGATCCAGCTAGAAGAACACATTTATCCTCTGGTATACTTTGTGGAACAGTCCAGAAAAGTGGCTTTTTAAGAGTTACTGGTGCTTTCCGTAGCACCAGTATGCCAGGCAGGAATTTGCTGTTTGAAATAGTATGTCTTAAAGTGAGTCTTTATATCTAGCTTTTCCTCTGCTTCTATTTACTGAGCTAGTAAATGGCCATAAGGCAAACAGTCATTTAAAAACTGTTAATTTTTAAATGCTGCTGTTATGGAATCTGATCTCAAAAAGCAGGAGGGTATCTGAATACTTCCTTCAGGAAAGAAGTTTTGTTTCTTTCCATCTCTTCACATGACTTTATGTAAAGGTGCTTTTCCTTCTGGCGCTCAAATTTTTGTGGGTTTGTTTTGTTGTTTTGTTTTTTTTTTTTTTCTTGTAAATCAAATGACACTGGGGCAGTATTTTTTCATATTGGTAATAATCAGCTCGTGAGTACCTCACTTGTGTAATTCTACACAGTGAAAAATGTTGGCGGGAGAAACTGCCAATTTTTGTGGTATTACATGAAATGAGAGCTTGTTTTTCAAGCACAGAGATGTCATTTGTGACTCTCATCTTTATAGAACAGTAGATACTGAAATCAGAGAGTTGTGAACACACATTAATTCTGTTTCTGTGTTGGTATCAAGCAGGTTTGTTAATGTACAGCTTGAAATAAGATGAACAGAGTTTACATTTTGGTGACTTTCATGTATGCGTCCTCTGAACAAGGTGGAGGAAGACTATTTTTGTTTTGATAACTAAAAATAAGTTGGTCTGTGTAGGAGGGGACACTTCTAAAATTGTTTCATTAACCTGTATCAAAATCATACAGGTTTCAAATACAGGTTTATAAATAAATGGAGAGACTGGCTAATGCTGTTTTGGTTTGTTTTTCAGGCATTAGAAAGGATGCGTCCTTACCTGTGTGATAAAATCATAGCTGAGAGACACTTTGATTACCTGCGTTCAAGGAAAATACTCACTAGAGAGGACACAGAAGAAATTTCTTCTCGATGTTCCAGTAGGAAGAAAACTGGGAAGTTATTGGACTACTTAGCAGAAAACCCAAAGGGACTAGATGTTTTGATTGAATCTATCAGACGGGAAAGAACACAAAACTTCCTGTTACAAAAGATAACTGATGTAGTGTTGAAAGTCAAAAATGAAAAACTTGAAGCTCTCAAAGGTAAGAAGTTTATAATAGTATTTTCTAAGACGTAAGTTTTATTTTGAGGGTCTGCAAAATTAATCTCCAATGGTTATTTAAATCATGTTTCTTAGATGGGGTTTGTTGGTTGGTCAGGGTTTTTTTCCACTCTAGTGTTTGGGACAGCATTCTTGGAAATAACACTGATTTGTTTGGGTTTAAGATCCTACTGCATGTGTTCTGTCTTTGTCTTTTTACTATCCAAACACACCATAAATAACAAATCGCAAAAAAACCCCTGTCGTGTTGTTTTATCTTCCTTCACATTTCAGTTTTGCTTTCTACGAGGAACTCAAAATAGGCGGTTCTTGGATTTCTCTCGAAGCTGTTTACTGCAGGGGCAGGATGCTCTGGTTTTGTTAAGCTGTGTGCCTCATCAGAAGATAAGCCACCAAATGCAACCTGAGGGGAATTCCCCTGTGAGCCTTCAGTGCCAGAACTTAGAGTTAGATGCTGTAAAGGTATGCAGGTGTTGCTTGAAACAGACAGGGAGATTTTTTTGACACACAAAGCTTGAAGTGACTATATGTACTCATATTTTAAGGCAGATATAGTATAAGCCCTCTAAACCAAAACACTTACTTCCCCTTCCACACCCGTCAGAAGAGAAATAAGAAGGAAGAAGTACATTCTAACCTTAGACATTAAAGTCCGGAAGTTTTCTCTAGCTTCAGGTAAAACGGCCTTTAAATGCAGTCTCCTTTGGAGTAGAACCATTTACCTGAAGCTTCCAGAAGTTTGAAGAACACAGTGAGAAAAGTCTATCAAAAGATGGGTTAAAGGTCTAAAGTGACTTCCTAAAGTGAAGCTTAAATTATGATATGCTTTTGTCATAGCTGATATAAGAAATCATTCACATCAGCCTGGATAACCTGAATGTATTTTTAATTTGTCAATAATATTGGGATGTCACAGGTGAGATGAAGAGGTTGGGAAGTTAAAAATACAGACAACTGGTCTTTGACAATCTTACTGGTATTAAATCAGAGCACAGTTTTAAGAGTGCACCACATTGTAATTAACTCCAGTCTCTTGGTTATTTTCCGTAGGTCTGAGCTGCAGCACCTGTATGACTTCACTGTATGGAGGAACAAATAATCTTTCTAGATCATATTCTGATGAATCTAATTTTTTTGATAAAACAAAAGACAAAGAATCTACCCAGATACATCACCCAGAAGACGATTACAGCACCGCTGCATTTGTGTCTGCGGTCTCTCTTCATTCAATGAATTTACCAGTTGCAGAGATGGGAAACGCAGAGAGTGCTGTTTTCTCAGCCACCCTTCCAGGGCCTGGAGACCCCGGTGCTCCCCCGCTCCCACCAGAGCTCCAGGCAGAGCAGCAAGAACCGTGCAGTAGTAGTTCAAGTGAAAATTGCTTTCTGCCTCTAAGGTCACGTTCTCTTCAGCCACAGTCAATGTAGTGACTTTTGTCTGTTCATCCAATGGTACTGAAACTTGGTGTGATGGCTCATAAAGGTTAAAGCAATATTTTCAAACTATTAAGTAGCAAAATCAGAGGAAACAATCCATTTACTGCTTTTAAGGAGTAATTTCTTTTTTTTTTTTTTTTTTTTTTTAATAATTTGGTCACTGGAGCTGCTTGATTTAATGTTCTCTGGGAGCTTTTTTCCAAAAGATCATGGTAATATGCCAGCAAAGGGTTGTTTTTTAAACCAGTGTATTTAAGATTTCATTAGCTGCGCATACAGAACATAAGTGGTTTTTTCTTCCTACAGGAACTAACAAGTCTGCTTTTCTTTATGTTTTTGTGACAGATGAATTGGGAAAGATGGTTAGGAAAGATACTGAGTATTGAAAAATAAATTCCTGAACTAAAAGCTAAAGCTTACTTACCAAAAAGCTTGAACTCATTTACTAAATTAGAATTTACCTTACAGAGAAACATTTGCCCCCTACTTAGGTGAGTGCAGCTTCATCTGCAAAACAAAACCCAAACTGAAAACCCAAGTCTGTAGTTAGACTTATTTGCAAGAAGTCTTTTAATTGTCTCAACTTTGTCCTACTAGTAAACCAAAAGGCACTCAGTATCGCAGTGATTTGAATTGGCAAATATACAAGTCTTAGCATATTATTCTTGTGTATTTGTTAGAGATTTTTGATTTGATGTGCACTTTAAATATAAATTCTCATTAGTACTGGAAAAGGAATGTAAACTGCTGTAACAGCATCATGTGGCCTGTAAGAAAATGTTATTTTATAATGCTGTTAAGGAACAAAGCTTGTATGTTTGGCCTAGTAGGTAAGTAGAGGACTCCTGTAGCAAGACCATATCCGTACTGAAGGACTCTTGGAAATGTTGCGCTTCAAATATTTACTCTTAAAAGCAGATAGACAGGTTTACATTTCAAATTGTTCAGAGTCGAATGCATTTTAAACTATTTCAACATGGGAAGGTTCTCATTTCTTAAGACAGTGTAACATGCTTTATTCCTCTCACACTCTATTCTTGTCATTTTCTTGTTTCAAAGTTGGCCTATAATCACTTTAAAATTACTTGGCAAAGACAAACTTGTATGTGGAAATGGGTATGGTTGTGTTCTGCAGTACTACACTTTAAAGTCATGGCATGTTTTCAGCCAAAGGGTAGGTTTCTATTTAAGGCTTTAAATTATTTTGGCTCTCAGGCAGGGCTATAGCCATGTAATTCTATTCACATTCAAACCCAGGTAGTATTCCTAAGCTGTGTTCTCTCTTTGTGGAGACAGGCCATCAGCAGGACCTCAATACAGCCTCTTCAGTTTTTTTTCTTCATAATGTTTACTCTGGTTTTGGAAGTAGGTTAAAATAAACTGCAGTGTCCAACTACCCTCCATACTTAGTATATGAATAGCTTACATTCAATAAAGATGTGGACTTCCGCTCAGTGTTTATAAAAATCCTTGTTTTTCTTGTATACCTCTATGGTCATGAGTCTGCCTGGGTGATGAAAATGCTCTTTAACAGAAGTGATTGAAGGTACTCTGGAAGTTAAGTGCCTAAATGCATAAGCAAAATTTTGCTCTCTTAACATGAAATTAAGGGAAGCCTTAAATCACCCTCTTCCGTTAACTTGAACTGTAGTTGCATGTACTTGGGATGTCTAGAATTTGATTTGTCTAAATACCCACTGTAACCACTTGAAGAGCTGTGCTCAGGTTTGGGTCCCTCCTTGAGTTTTTGTCAGAGGACGACAGTGAGCAAGCTTGGCCTTAACTGAAACAGAGCATCAGCTCGGGGTGAAGATTGCCTTGCAGATAGAAATCCAACCACCAGCGCACCATGCAGGGATCACTCCTGCACGCAGCCTGCTTACCTGAGGCTTTGAATGAATGTATTATCTTACCAAATGGTTGTAACATGCCTTTTGTTTTTTAAAAATGGAAATATTTTTATCACAACTTTTGGAATAAATTCTTTTGTATAACTGCCTGTTTTTCTGTCTGCCCTCATTATTAACATGCATAGGTTGTAAAAGCAGTTCATGCCACTGTCTGGATGCATGGGTTTGGGTTGGTGCGTGCAGGCCGCTTTTGTTCTCATTGTCTTGTTATAGAGGTTTGTCTTTGGTGCAAAGGCTGACTTAATGTGAAACATCTCTGCCCACGGGGCT